CGTCTCATACCTCGTGAGAACATAACGTAATTAATGCTATACATAAGTATGGAATTAGCTAAAAATCGTTTAGCAAAGTCGCGAGAGAGAGAGAGAGATCGAGGCACAATAATAAAATCTCTACGTCTCTGTACTATTTAGCAAACACTCGCAATAATGCATAATACACACGAGTATAATAATTAAACGTTGCCGCCGCTGCCGCTGGCATGCATACGGGATCTCACCTATATACGCGCACGATAATATACAAACGATCTTTTCTCGTACTCGAGTCTTACGAGCTATGTGTATGCAAAGTTGCTCGCGTGAGAAATGCCGTTGTGTGCGTGTATGATTATTGTTATTACATACTCGCGTATTCGTGTGTGAGTAATAATAATCGAGCGCGATCGGTATATAGCGTTATATACCAACTCGCGCGTATGAGATCGGAATTCGGAAAAAAATCATCGCAACGGCGCCACCACCACCTCTATCCGTTGAATATTGATACTTTTCATATTGTACATATTCATTGGTATTATGCACACGAGCGAGAGCGAGCGATCACGATCGCAATATTAATGCAGCAGCAGCAAGAGTAGTTGTAATAGTGTCGGTAAAAGTAAAAGAGTATACAAACGAGGATTGCGACCTTGTGTCACATAGACCGGCGGCTTCTCTCTCCCTTTTTTTTTGCTACTTCTAGTTTTTATCGCCTCGTCTGTGCCAAACTTTCACCTATACCGATGCACCAGTTTTGTGTATCAAAGGGTGTATATAGATGCACGCGCGCTCCGAAAGACACATACATCATTAAGTTCGAGTTATCGTGAACACGTACGTTATCGTCCGTTATAAATTACAAAAAGATATTATATAACGAGTTTAAAGGGTCCTAATGGACGAATCCGAGAAATCGTTAAAATTAAATACTTTTCTTTTCATCGTTATAACTATTATTAGCTAACTCGAGAATCGAACGATTAAAGCCAATCGTTTATGTGATTACGGGCAATCGTCGCAGAGTTAATATACGTGAATAAATGATCCGATACTCTAATGCTCGGCGTATCTGTGTGTGACTCGTCTGACTCACGACGATGATGATGATGATGATGTTTCCGCTGATCGACATTTATTATCCGAGTGCAACAAAAATACTATATACACATACAATGCAGCAGTTTTCAAGTATAGCTTCATTATTTATTTATAAGACGCTCGTAATGTATGCGTCAATGATTTAACCGATAGACGACGACGATGCACTCGATGCATATATTCATGTGCTATATAGTGTTTACCGATCGTGTCCTCTTCGATTCCGATTCGTTTAATTGTTATTTCTATGTAATTGTCGGATGCGCCGCGGCAAGCACGAGGTGAATCGCCTTCGCGCAAAGAAATGGAAAGAGAGTCTCGATCTAAAAAAATTCTTTGGACGACACGCGTAATGTATTCAAAATTCGCTCGCCGTTGTATTTATACAGGCAGCTACAAATTTGAGGCGCAGGTATATGTAAAATATTATACAGTCTCGAATGAGCCAAACTCATATATATATTGGCTCCCCAGTGTACTAACACAGGTGTACGTATTGTATATAGAAACGGTAAAAATGAGAAAAAAAAAATTTCGAGGAACGATCGGAGCGCCGCTGCGTGCGTCATCCTCGGTGTATGCGTGCCCCCTTCTTGCCGAGATTTTTCCTCAAAATCGAGCCTTTATACAGCAGCAGCAGCAGCTTATAAAGCTCTCGTCCACTCGTTCAGCTATAAATATTTACCTTTCGCGCGTCGTCGGCAGCAGCTAAACATTAATAAATCATTACGACTACTGCACACGTAAACATTTTGTCTCTCTCTCTCGTTCGGTTTCATAGGGCCATTATATCCTCGTTATTGAGCGTTTAGTCATCGATGCGCATGGAACATCGGCATCTCTCGTATACATTTATACTGGTCGGTATTTGACGTAAATAATGGAAATCCTCGCGATGTTCATTGCATGCGGCAAAATAATAATGTGTATAAAAAGAGGCTGCGGAGGATTACGCAGACGCGACTGCTACATAGCCTCGATAGCTTTAGAAAATATCTACGCATCGATGTATCTATCGGGAATCGGGGATACATGGCTTGCGTAAGACTCGAGCGGCGTTTGATATGTGTATAATAACGAGCCTCGTGCGTCCGTCCACTTGCGATGTAGACGTGTGTGTATAACGCAGCCAATCAGGTGAAGAGCTCATACATATAATGAGATATGAAAACAACGAAAAACGAGTGACGAAATATTCATATGTACGAGATAAGACGAGCGCGGAAGGGTCGCTCGAGATATCAGCAGCTCTTTTGTGTGTGCGCTATTCTCTCGAGGACCGTCGTCGACTCTGCTGCTCGAAGCTACTATGGAAATATGCTGCACATTAGTTTTTAAATATAAACACGTATATAATATATAAGATAGAGTCGTGGGGGCTTCCGATTATTCTCGCGCGCGCGTGTGTATGTATTCGTGTGTTTTTATATAGACTTTTCGATGACTAGACGAAAAAGCGAGGCGCGCAGATGTGTCGCTGGAGAGAGAATAACGAGCCGCGGGCTCTTCCCTCGAAATACATACACACACACACACATACACAAGTTGTGTTACAATAATAGGCTCCTAATGACAGGCGCACGCGTGGTCCAAGAAGCTTTTTATCTAATAATCTTATCCGAGAGACATTTTCCTAAATCGTATGAGAGCTTTATGACGTATACGATCGTTGTTTTCGATCGTGAAAAAACGATTTTTATTGCCCTGTCGATACCGATCGGGTATTAAAAAGAAGCAAAAGCACGCGATGACGCGCGCGGGTCAACATTTTTCTTTGGTATAAGACCGAGTTGTGTTTGAATAAAAATAATAGTATCATAATGATTCGTTGGAGACGCTCTTGTACATCAGGCGGCATATGCGTTAGACAGCTGACACTCCTTAACGAGGGGACTCTTTTCTTTTTAATTACCGTCTTGGGTGCTCATTGAAAATCATCGAATCGATAACTAAGCTCGAGTGAATATACTAACGATTCATAATATTTTCTGCGTTTATATACTTTCATTTCGATCGACGGTCGCATACGCCGAGAGATGCAAATTTGTCCGTAATAATAATACGGCTAATAATTTAATTTGTCTCGTTCATGGCTACGCGAGCTCAATCGCCTCTCTCTCTCTCTCTCTTCTACTCGCTCAATCGTGAGCACAGGTCTCCACCACCACCATCTCTGGCAGCCGATTGACTTTCTCGCGATTGCGATCGCTATGTGTGTAGCGCCTGCGTATATAGGTATATCGTCGATTTATTCGCCAACTATCCTGTTTCTAACCTAAATAAAACTACTTGCTGATGCATAATTTAATTATGACCGGTTATGGAGCTTTTCTTTTAAAAATGTGTACTCTATTACTCCCTCTCCTATGAGATGTGTGGCTATATTACCGAACAGGAGAAACGCGTAAGGTGAACATTATAATACGAGAAACCCTAAAGTATGCTCAGAAAAAAGGAGTCCAATGTCCGCGCTGCTGTAGGAATCGAGGAAGAAGCCGAGAGAAAAAGAAAAAAAAAACATTTTCAAGGGATATATCCTCTGTATTATCGGTTCTGTCTTGTGCCTCCTTAAGCCCGGCTATGGTCAGCACACTCACAGTGTCTGTGTCGGTGTCTCCATGGCAACCCACTAAGTCACCTGAGAAAAGAAAGAGAGAACCGACTATATACAGTCATCAGCAGCAGCATGGCACAGCATGTATATAATATAATGCGTGCGAAGCAGGTAGAATCGCGTATATACGAGCCTCGTGCCTTGCCCTCTTACGTGCACACTCGCGCGAGAGGATGACTCGAAACACGCGCATACACTTATGTATACTCGAAAGATCAAAGTTAAAAACGATGCACCATATATGCTGGTGGAGTTGTTGCCCTGCAGCTTTGTTTCGTCCCGAGTCCGAGTCGCATTCTTTTAAGCTCGCCCCCGCGTACATATACTAACTTATACAATTCGGTAGGGGCATTCCAGCCACGAAAATCGGTATGGAATATCGGTATACCAATCGTCTCCCTGTACTACGTACTTCGTGCTGTCGATTGCATCATATCCTTAAACAGGTCGCGCGCATTGCTCATCATTGCGAGTTAACAGTCGAAAAAGTTCGACGAGTATTGGAGTCATGGAATGCACTGAAATTCGCGCGCATGCCATTATACATTATACATATTAAGCTGCGGAGTCTTTGTGCGCAACAGGCACGATCGCTCTCCTCTCGACACATTTTACAGCATGTTAATACGTGTCTGCGACCGAACACTGTACATTATACTACAGCATTAAAGTATATGCGTGCACGAGCTCACGCACACTCGCGCATATTATAATGTATAAAGGTAAAGGTAAGTTTTAGCAGACGCGTCCGGCGCGGGGATCGGTTTTGTGTGTGCTCGTGCGTGACTCGTGTCAAGTCCATGTGACCGGCCGAGTGTGTAGGAAAATATGCGAGTGTGTCTGTGTGTAAGTGTATGCGTGCATGGCAGCAGAGATAGAAGAGTGAAAGAAGAGATAAAATGCCTCTCCGCGCTCTGCCGTGTGTAGTAATATCCATGGGAGTAGGGGCAAACCCGCGAGTATACTGAGAGAGAACTGACTGCTCGCTGTATGTGTGCGTGTACTATACTATACATATACGCGCTTTTTAACGTGGGGGAGAGAGAGAAACTCTGCGCGAGAAACAAAGAGAGAAGGCAACGTCGTCGTCTCTCTCTCTCTCTAGCTCGGCTTTCGCACACATACATACGTATATCTATGTGTATAGTCCGTGCGTATACACGTACATTACGCGGAGCTATATACTCCGGTTCGACGGGCAGAGCCGTATGAGAGAGAACAGAGCAGCGAGCGAGCGAGCGAATCGTGTGGAGGGAGAACGCAAGGGTCCCGCTCGGTTTTGCAGCTCAGTCCCCGACGCTCCTGCGACGCGCGCACGCACCACAGAGTACCGCGCCGCACTAAATATAGATATATAGATATAGTTATAATATAATATAGCTGCCGCCGCCGCCGCCGCCGCCGCCAACTTACGGACGACGACGACGATTATTGCGCTCTCTCGCTCTTACGCATTGTATACATGCCTGTACTACCAACAGCTGCCTGCCGCCCGGAATGAAGAGCAGCAGCAGCAGCGTAGCGACGCGTCTATCTAATACAGCCAGTTGACATAGGAGATCCCCATTTATAAGTAAGCTCCGCCACGGCCGCTCGCGTTTCAGTACGAAAATTGGGACGCCCGAGCGCGCGAGTGCTGCTACACACATAGTCACCCGCGAATGTGCAACTGAAGTGCGTGTCGCCGCCTAGACGACGACGACGACGCCGATGATAATCTGCAAAAAGAGTCCATAACGCCGACGTCGGTCACAGTGTGTCATTGTGCAAAAAACAACAACAACTACGACGAGATTTAATTAAAAGAGAGATACATTATTCTCTCGTGCAGTGTGTATATTGTGTATATCTCTGTGTAAGTGTGTGTGTGTGTATACGTGTAACGCTGTATAGTATAATATACAGGCACATTGCAACGCTCGCAAACGCGGACAGCAGCTGCCTGCCTGGGATACACAGACGCTTCCTTTCCGGCTTCGTCATCGATTGACTGTGTGCCGCCGCGGAGAGCCCGGCATTTTGAGGTGAGTAACGCGAACGCCGCGTTTTTCTTCGAAGAACAACGGGAGAGATAACTTTCGTGCGCCGATCTTGGCCTTGCATCATATTATTGCAATGAATTTAGTCAGAGTGAGTTGAGCAGACGAGTTGGCGTGTCAGGGTGGTTAATAGTAGGTAGTATTTTCGTCCCTTTCGAATCGAGGGGTGAATCGAGAAAGGGGGAGGGGGGAGAAGATTGTTGCATCTGTGCTGCAATAGTAGTAGCTCGAGCACGAGGGCTGCTAAACACGTGACAGTCATCCCGTATAAACGCGTAATTCGCCGGCTCGTCCAACTTATATTACATTTATTGATTTATACCTATATATTATAACATTTGTCATTTACTCTTCTGTCCTCTCTTAGGGCCCTCAGTGACTGTTACATTTTTCCCAAAGAAGCTAAGAAAAACTAAACCGCCAAGATGTTTGACGTTTTCGGCTCGGTGAAGGGCTTGCTCAAGCTCGATGCCGTCTGCATCGACAACAACATCTTCAAGATGCACTACAAGGCGACCTTCATCATCCTCGTCGCTTTCTCGCTGCTCGTCACCTCGCGCCAGTACATCGGCGACCCGATCGACTGCATCGTCGACGAGATCCCCCTGCACGTGATGGACACCTACTGCTGGATCTACTCGACCTTCACCATGCCCGAGCTCAACGGCGTCGTCGGCAAGGACATCGCCGCTGCAGGCGTGGGCGGCGAGGGCGGCGAGCGCAAGTACCACAAGTACTACCAGTGGGTCTGCTTCTGCCTGTTCTTCCAAGCCATCCTGTTCTACATACCGCGCTACCTCTGGAAGACCTGGGAGGGCGGCAAGATCAAGATGCTCTCGCTCGATCTCAACTGCCCGGTGGTGAGCGAGGACTGCAAGACCGACAGGAAGAAGCTGCTCGTCGACTATCTCTCCCTGAACATGCACTCGCAGAACTGGTACGCGTTCCGCTACTTCGGCTGCGAGTTTCTCAATCTCGTCAACGTCATCTGCCAGATCTTCCTCATGGACTACTTCCTCGACAACGAGTTCACCAACTACGGCCGCGACGTGCTCAGCTTCAGCGAGATGGAGCCCGAGGACCGCATCGATCCCATGTCGCGGGTCTTCCCCAAGGTCACCAAGTGCACCTTCCACAAATTCGGTGCTTCCGGCACGGTTCAAAAGTTCGACGGCCTGTGCGTGCTGCCCCTGAACATCGTCAACGAGAAGATCTACGTGTTCCTCTGGTTCTGGTTCATCCTGCTCGTGTTCTGCACCGTCGGCAATCTCCTCTACCGCCTGGTCATCCTGCTGTCGCGCAGCATGCGCCTGTACGTGTTGCGCAGCCGCTCGCGCATCACGCCCTACCACCAGGTCGAGCTGATCGTCAACAGGTGCCAGATCGGCGACTGGTGGGTGCTCTACCAGCTCAGCAAGAACATCGATCCGCTCATCTATCGCTCGCTCCTCAACGATCTCGCCCGCAAGCTCGAGGGCAAGGAGAGCGTCTGAGTTCAGGCCGACTCTTTCTACTGCTTGACGTTCTATCGCAAAGACAAAGACGACGACGACAAACGAGAACTTAGACGATCGAGCGAGACTACTACGACGAGCAGCTTAGAAAAAAGTGATAATAGCTTGGACGACGTCGTGCTCCACGGGCAAAGTATATTGATTTAAGAATTTCTTACGCTTCATCGGATTATTTTTTTTCTGACTGTTTGTTTTTTTCCATCTGTTGATATCACACTTTTTATAATAATCATATATGCTTTAGACGTGAGCGCGCCGAGCCCAAGCTTGATCAAGTGCCTAAAATAATAATAATAAGCGAGAAAAAGAGACAAAGAGAAGCGAGAGTAGTGAATTTTTATGTACTGTGATGGAAATTGCTCGATCGATTCGATTCCCTCGAATTTTCTTCGATCGTAGCGCGTACAGTTTTAAAGGAATAATTTCATTTTTTACTCTTAAAAAAGACACAGAGACCAACATGTAGAGGAGAGAAAGAAGAAGAAGAGTCTGCTGGGAGAGCGTCGTATGGTCGTCGTCGCCGATCTCTCTCTCTCTTTCTCTCTGTCTTTATATCTCTCTTTCTGCTCTTTGGCATTCCACGCGGCAGCAGGAATCGGCGAGAACGCGATCCCCTTAACTCGGCCGCTGCCTTTTTTTTTCTTTCTTTCTTTCGTTATCTTTCCTTTTTCATACACATATAACGTACTCGGCCTTCTTATCCCCACCCACGCATCGGGCCCAATGGGACTCGATCGCGTCCCTCTACTCTCCGTAGCTCGCCAACTCATTGACCTATGCTATGTGGGCCTTGTACACGCTCTCTTGTCTCTCTTTCTCGCCTTTGTCTGTGTGTGCGTGTTTTTTTTTCTCCAACGCTTTTTTTTCATTATATTTACTTATCGGTCCCTGGGCACACGCGTGAGAAAATAGGGACCGTACAGTCGTTACACGCACGCCGAGATCGTGGTTTTGAAGAAAAAAAATGAAAAAACCACCTGAAAAACGAGATACACTAGACGTACTCCGATTCCGCGAGTTTCATTCGAACAGAATTGGAGTACGTCTAATTGTACATTATATACATTCGTTCTATATAAACTGAGACTATGTGATAAGCGGAGGACGGCCGCGGAGGTCTCGGAATTATTATTATTATATTATATATATGTGCGATTACGTTGACGATCTTTTCATCGAATGAAAAGATCGTCAACCGTCGTTGTTATTTTTATTGATTCTCGCTATTAACGTTTATTATCATTGTAAGCTTAGATGAATGTGTGCGGTATGAGATTTTCCGGCGTTTTCTATCCTGCTGTTTACACGGAGCGCACGCGAGAGAGAGAAAGAATGTTTCGAAACGACACACAACTGTACAATAAAGCCTTGGATCGTGTCGATCGATCAAGCCGGTTTTTTTTTCTTCGTCGTTATAATGTATGCACAAAAATGAGATGCGTATTATTATTATTTTGTATATTTTAGACGAGAGTCGGTACCGGTATACCAGTAATTAATGCGCGAAATCTCGCATTCGAAAATCACTTCTTCGGCCTGTACATGTGTACACGATGATGATACTCATTTCTCGAGAATCGATTTATTAGATGGAGAGAAACTCTCGGTAACATTTTTTTGAAAATCCCGCTATGGAATACACCAAATGTGTGTGTTTCTACTTTTTTTTTCATTTTTACTACTACTAACATGTAAATTGCTCATCGTGCGACTGTGTGAAAATTTATCGATCTGGACGACGACGTGGACGTGGACGCCCGAGAGAAAGAGAGATACACTATTTCCGCTTTTGACAAGTGTACATATTCGCGCCACGTGTTTTTATAAAGAAAAAGTCGTCTTTGGCCTTTTTTTTTACCTTTCAAATTTACAAAACGACAATGCGCCGCGATAAGACGACAGCGTGTGTAAATCCAAGGCTTTGAAAATCCGACAGGTAGAATTTGAGCCGCCGTCCTTCCAGTAGCCTGTATTTTGATATACGCACATTACGTTCATCAACTATACTCGACCGAGCTCACGATTTCTGTAAAACTTCTTTTATTTATTGCCCGTCCCCCGTTCAATTAAACAAATAGACGAACGAGAGAGAAGAAAAAGAATACAAAAGCTAGACTTAGTCCCGCGTAGCGAAAAGAAAAAAATTGAAGCATTTTATATGGAATGGAGTATATAAATAATATATATAATTATGTTTATAGAAAATAAGACGGAAGTTGTAGATAGACGTGTAACAAATTGTTGTCTCATCGTCGACTTCGACATCGCGATTTTCTTTATAATTTATTAAGAAATTAAATTTTTTTTGTTCGTCTTAGAATAACCAGATTTTGTACGCAATGACAATTTTACGTATAACGTATAATTTTTAAGTGACGAAACGAGGGACCAATAATTTACTCGTACATTCAGTGACAAATTTTTGCCAAATTTTGCACCCAGCGTTCGTTGATCGATCGCATGAGACAACTTTCGCAAAAAGTAAGAATGAATGCCCACGAGTAAGAATTGTTAGTGTTTAGGTAAAGGGCCCCCGTAGCCCTCGAGCTTGCTTGTTTGACAAAAAAAAAAATCAACGACGCTCGAGTTAATTTATCGCATTATAAGTTTATTCTTTTTTTTATATAAAAAATAAAGCATAAAAGTACCATTTATTTATCCTTGTTTATACTGCCAAGCTTACGAAATTAAATGTGACATTGCGAAAGGCCTCGATAAGACAAATTTCTTTCTATCGAAAGAAAAAGTTTTGTTTCCAAAAGGCATGATGGAGGAGACGATTTCTAAAATGTAAATTAACAAGTTGCAATCAAACGTCGTCCATCGACGACGACGTGCTCTGATTAGGCCTTGTAGCGAGTACTAGAGAATGATGTAGGATTATCCGCTCATTATCGAAATAATATCGATTCTGTGGTAATTAATTATTAATTATTAATTATAATGTAATTTTAATTATTTCATTATTACTACTATTATCACAAAACATTTTAGATATATAAGCCATTATTATATATTTTGTACCTACTAATGATTGAATGAGTATGTCAAAAATTTTAGAAAATTTGATTGGAATGGTTTCGAGATATATATATTTCTGATAAAAGATATAAAATTTATGTGAATAACTGATTCCTCTCGAGTTATATTAGATTGTATAAGATATGTGGTGATGCAAGCAAAAACGTTTTCAATAATAATTACAATGTGTACAAGCGACGACGATTCTCTTTATTTCTTTTCACTTTGATTAAACAATTATTAGTTGTATGGTAGTGTTGTTTCTAGCGAGCTTTTTCGTAAAAGCACTTCTCACACACGTTTTACGAGAGAAGTGAGAGATAACAGCAGTTTATTTACGACATAGCGACAATAAAGAGCGACGACTCGTATACTCGCGAGATGCGTGCTTGTGATGAAATCGAAAGCGAACGCAACTCTACGAATTAATAATTATTTTTTTTTCGTAAAGAAAAGGAGACGTCTAATCAAGTCACACACGAACCCAACAACTATTGTTTTACAAACCATTATTGTTAAATTCAATTTTAATTGAACGATAGATAATGCGTTTTATTATTATTTTTTTGTCTTTACTCATTATGATTTTCTGAAATACGCAATAAATAATTTTTTTGGTATCCTTGCATTACTTTTTGGTCATTCTTTGATTTATTTCGTCATCCAAATCATCATCATTCAACTCAAACTGTCGGTGCACAGATCAAAAACAAGAAAATAATCATTGTACACGCCCGACGTAGACAACGAACAGAGAAGACTATATGGCACACACACACAGAAGCATAGTAATGTGTTGTATGTATAATGTATGTACGCGCGAGCGAGTCATTGCTCCCATTTAAGCTTTTATAGACGTATATGAAGTCGTGTGTATACCAAACGAAAGTGCCTATAACTCACGAATTATAGATCAAAAATACATTCCTGCGTAGAGATTTTTTTTTATATGTTTATATTCTATAAGTCATTTATAATTCCATTGTTTACAACGTTAACAACGTCGATTTGTCAAGCTTCTACATTTAATGCATGTATACTTAGCGGTACTTATTAAAAGGTTTTGATTTTTGGGGGGCTCGTCGTTCTCACTTGTACCGACGACGACGACGATGATGAATAAACATTTCGGAAGCTATTTTTGTATACTTGTTTAAACGGAAAGCCTCTCCGCTTGGAGAAATAGATCGTTTTTCTCGCGAAGAGAGTCTCCCTTGTGTACGTGTGCGCGCGTGTGTTTGGGTGTCGCTCTCTCGGGCGGAAGCCGGTGCTGTCCGTGAAACAACAAAGAGTGCAACAAACACCGCACCGGAGAACGATTGCATAGGAGGCGAAATTGAACGACGTATGCCGAGAAACGAAATCTTCGTTTATACGACGAGATTACGATCTGTCGATTCAGCTGGTGTGTGCATGAGTGTGTATAAGCGAGTACGTGAGAAGGCACACACGCGTGTCAACCTCATTATCTAAAATACGTATTCCAAGCGTTGGAAGGAGCTTGTATTTTTGGAAAGTTGAATTTTTTCTATATATACACCGCCGTCTTTTTTATCAATGAATGTACCTCTTTTTTCGACGCTTATAGATATATACAAAAGCTTTTTTGAGAAAAATCTTTACTGCCTTTCTTGGCAGCGCGAGAATATGCGAGAAGTGTAAATTAATAAGATGCAATAATAATATAAATGACTGCTTGTCAGATACGAATTGTAATGGATTTTGTATAAAAAAAATGATTAACTGAACGAAATAAAGGAGATTCGATTGAAAGCAATATACAATAACATGTGTCAATCAGGCTTGGTTCATTTAAATACGCTCCCAGACGAATCCTTATCGACTTTTCCCTTCTCCGAACGGTGAATAGAGACAATCATTTTTCCAGTGTAGTACGCAGCTTTCATCGAGGCAGCAGCAGCAGCAGCTTGTCATATAATAAATTGAAATATAATCGAACGATAATAAGTCCATAATAATAATAATAATAATAATAATAATGTAACACTAATCAACACAACGACTCGCGACTATCTATAGTCGAAGCATAATCTCGAATAATGCCTTGATTATCACAATTGGCTAAATTTTGAGCTATGTAATCATCGTATATAATATACAATGGGCGCAGATAATAAGTAGATATCGGAGACGAGTCGACGCGCTTCGATTTTCATATAACGGTAAGAAAAGAAGAAAAAAAAAAGATATCGCCCGGCCGACGACACCAACGTCTTGATCATCGTTTTAACAACTTTTTTTCGCTGCTTCTGTTGCTCTCATCAGCAAAAATGAAATACGTACGTCAAGGCAGCAATGCCGGGTATGCAACAGTAGCAGCAGCAGTCGTAATTCATATATTATAATAGCCTTGAATTCAATCCTCGTCGTCGTATATACACGCTATTACGCCGTGTCATCAGAAAAAGGGTTTGAGCGTTAGACGACGTCGACGTCGAGCTCGTAATAAAACGCATTTGGAGCAATTCATTCCTCGGCTCGCGATTTGTTTTTCGTCACTTGTACATCGTACGGCTTATCGATCGATTTTCGATTCGGCGAGATTACGAACGATTTCGTGTATGTATATATTTTATATTTACAATATCTGCGTTATGCAAGCCACGCGCGTGTACCTGTACTCGCTCACGACGACGACGAATCTAATGGAGGAAAAAATAAAATAAAATCAAAAAGATTAGCGTAACCTTGGCGATCGCGGTGTGCGATAGATTTACGATCGACAGCAACACTTTGAATCGAATACCTGTCTAATAATACAGTCGAAAAATTATTATTTATTGACGCGGATTCTTCGAGTGTATGATATACTGTACACTCGAGCTTTAATAGACTTTTTTTCGCGCGGTCGTTCGAGGCAATTATTATCGATCGGCAGCACGAGAGATCTAATTAGGCCGTCGTCGTCGCGCAGTTCACGTATATCAATTAGGCTCGAATATAATAAATCATAAGTAATTAACACTTTAACCCAAATCGTCGTACGTGTCGTTTCGATGAAAATGTTTCTTGAAAAAGTCAGGTGAGAGAAGAATCGGCGATAAAAGCCCAGATCTATACTCCTTGCGCGCTAACGTAAGTTCGAGCGATCTCTCGGCAGCGGCAGCACCGACCGAATCGCCGCTGCGCACCGGGGCCTCGTGCTCGCCACTCGTGAGTAAGTATATGAAAAAGTCCTCTCGCTGCTGCCGCCGCCGCTGCTCCTTTTTGGGAACTGGAGACTGGCTCGGCTCTCCTTCTCTCTCTCCCTTTCTGTATCTCCTTCTCTCTTGGGATGCTCGAGTGCAGCTGCACTCCCACCTATATCTCTCTCTCGAAAGCTCGAGCTCGCTTGCCGTTTCTCATGACTGCTATATGCCTATATGGAGACTTTTGGAATGCGGCTCGTACTCGCACTCGCGATGATGGCGTGCGCGCATTTAAACCATAAAAGAGAGAGAAAGAAGGGAATGATTATTGAAATGGATGCAAATTGGGTATTAAAAATACGTGCCGTGTACGAGCGCCACTTCTGGTATATCGAGTGAATTTATATCATCGAACCCGTTGCTTTTCGTTAATTATTCAATATATCGGCTGTAAATTAAGCTTCTCGTTTTAAAGATATAATACATAAAGGTATACGTTGATGAAAATTGCGTTTAGTCTAATTTGTGATCGGTACCGAGCGAATGTAAACGCAATGAGCGGCTTGTAAATTTAATACCGGCGACTTAGATGTGATACCCTTTCGGAAAAGCCAAACTTATGCTTCAAATTTCGACGGTTTAAGATCCACGTGCGGAAACAATTGTGCCGTATCATAGGGTCGCCAATTTTCATCCTGGCGCACGAGACAGAACGCACGTATGCACACACATGCCGTGGATTCAGACAGACGGTTCAGGCCCCTGCGCGATACAGCTCGAGAGTACATAGCAGCAGCAGCTCGCACGCGGGGGCAACGGCCGGTCACAAGTCCCACTCTCCTCGCTCTTTTATAAAAGTCTCCTCTCTCTCTCTCTCTTTCGCTCCATCTCTCGCCTCTTCGCGCTCACTCACTCGCGAACGAACGAACGAACGAGAAAAAGACGAAACGAAATGAGAAAGAAGAGAGAGGAGAGAGAACGAAGGGAAAATAAAACCTCGGTGCGCAGCCGTGTATACCATACACGATATACGCGTAATTTATCAAAAGAAGAGTCTCGATCGCGAAATTCTTGCGAGCTCCTCCGCGTCTCTGTGTGTGGAAGTCACGTTTTTTCCGCGCCGCGTGTATAATACGCAAACGCGAAAAACGTACAGTCTGCCGAAAGCCGCAGATTGGCATCGCGATAGATATATTTTATCTCTATTATATTATAAAACGCTATACTTTTCATCATAGAGTTCGTAATCGGCTACCGTGTAACTATTTATCTAGCCGAAACTCGCGCAAACATCATCGCGAAATCGGGCCCCCGCTGAGGTGTACAAAAAATTAAACTCTTTTTTTTTCTTCTTTTTATAATTCGCGTATCACACAGCGCGATCTTATCGGTCGCGGGTTTTCCCATACCTTGGAAAAAGAGCCCACGCTATATTGCTATAAGCTCATCGCGATACGCGTAAAAGCACACAGCATATACTACGAGTCTTCGCGATTGTTTCAAGCGCGGGCGATTTAAATGCCGCCAAAGGCTTGCTTCAATGTAGCGGTGAAAAGCACAGAGAGATCCTTGTCTTATCTTTCTCTCTCGCTCGGTATTCACTTTCGTTCTCGACTCGATGCAAATGTGCTCTTAATGCCGCGGAGATACGTGTTGTTCTGAATTTCGAAAAAAAGTGTGTAAATGTACACGATGTACTTAAAGCCATCAGAGAATTAGAGTGTCAATATACGAGACAGCGCGTCACATTAAAAGTTTTTTTTACGCTTTGTTTAATCAGCAGGGCCATATAATCTATCAGCTCGAGAAATCTGCCTGCTAATGCGCGCGCGTACTCCATAACCATTGTATCGTGTATAGCGAAATCGTCATTTTTTTTTATCAACAGTCCCATCGCACGCGCGCACGCGTAGTCACGAGGTACTCGCGAATCGTTTTTTTTTATCGCATTCCTTTATTTTCTACTTCATTGACGAAAAAAAACAAGTAAACGATTTTTACGCGCGTGTCACGTGTCACTACTACACCCACGCCTTTATTTCGATCGATAACAAAACGAATTTAAATCGATCTCTTCTGCGTGCGATGCAGCGGCATATAGTTATATAAAAGCTACAAAGCTGCGAGCTCACGCATAATGTCTATGTGGTTTAAAGCGCGTAACTTTTTACGCAATGCCACCGACGCCGCCGCCGCCGATCGTAGTATACCTATATTATATTCTCTATCGATTAGATCGATAAAACGCGCCGATAAAGGTAAGCGTCAAAATTGATGTGTATACATGCGTGTATATTTATGCAGCAAACAAAGCCCGGCGGAGCGCGAAAAAGCAAAAAGCAAAAAAAAAAGTAAAGAACTTTTACGCCTTTACGTAAAATTGAGCACACACTCGCGTCGGCAGTCATTAATTATTATTAATCAATGTGATGCTTCTTGACCCGCAATTGTCCAAGCGTGAAACGTGCCAATTTCGTATTATTATTCCCTCGCTCGAGCTAGCTGTGCAAACTTACGCATTACATTGACAATTGCGTCGAGACCACGATATCGCGCACAGTGTTCGTCTTCTTTCGAATAAATGTGGCACACACGAGTGCGTGTGCGTTTTTCTCTAAATAATATGCGCGCGTGTACTCGATTTTTTTTTAATTGAATCGATCGAGAAATTTATTGTCCGTGTCTTAACGCGCGAATCATCTAAATTGAGTCCAAAAATATGTCATACCTATAGTGAAAACAACAAGGCCTCAAAATACAATAAAATAATATAAAGCGTCGGTCGTAAATCATTCGCGAATCGTCTGTAAAAGTATGTACGTCTTACTCCTGTTCTTATATATACTTATCGATAATAATCGAAAAGGTGTCGTGTGTTTTAGACGTCTGATTAGAATCGGACACGATACGGTACACGAGGTGTCGATCATCGGGCGGTGTCGGTTCAATGGTAAAAGAGCTTTTGCAATACAAGCTCGACTCAAATTATTATTATTATATTATAACGGCCATGGCAATTCGATCGCGTGTGGAACAATGCCGCGCGGCGCGTGACACGTGTCGAATGGCTTTTTTTTTGCGACTCGTGATGATAGTCGAGCTCTTTGATGAGCAATGATTTGCTTATCACTCGTATATTATTTACACCTGCTCAGGCTGATGGAATTCGGTTTCTTGTATATGTGCCGATTTCCGATCGAACATGTCTCAATCGTGTATAGCTCGAATATGAATTGACGAGACGATCCACGAAGTCGACTTTTGCGAAGCAGCAGCAGCAGAAGTCGAAACGATCGATCTCACAGTATGCAACGATAACCCTAGAAACAAAGCTGGCCACTCGTTTCTCAACCGGAGGGGATCGGCAAAAAATCGGCGCTCGCTCGCCGCACGATGCACTCTGCATGTGACAGCTTATTAATAATAATGTTTTTTTCCGAAAACATCATAATATAATGTACGCAAGTATACATATGCAATCGTCGTTATCAATCGTCAGCTCTCGCTCGTTTTCTTATCATCATACTTCTCGCGATAAAAAGCGTAAGTGTGTATACGTGTAATCAGTCCGCGGGCAAGACGAAGACAGAGAAGCTCGCGCGGAAAAAAGATCGAGTCGCGGCGAGGGGAGGTAAGAAGAAGCGGTAGAGGAATTATCATCGGCGAGTTATTATTACGGCCCCGAAGAAGAAGTTCGGTTTGTGTCAGTCATATTTCTGTATTTTTGATAAAAGAAGCTAGAAGCAAGAAGCCAGCCGAGCGCAAGCGCGTAGCTCGCGGCCCGTCTCTCTGCGCCGCCGTCTTTTATAATACAGAAGACCATACGGATTCGATAACGAACGACGAGGAAGACGAACTTTTCCTCGCGCGACGAGAGAGACTCTCGCCCGTGTGTGCGGCGCGACGTCGACGAAGAAGAAGACTGTTTTCTGCTCGCGCGTGAATGTGCGATCATCCCGTGGGCGCTCGCTGGTGACGCGCGCGCGTGTGCGACACGACGAAAATACTATACCGATCATCGTCGATTTTCTTCTGCTGCTGTTCCTGCTGTGTGGTCCAAGTGCTGTGTGACATTGACAATAACAACAACGACCGGAAGCCGCCAAGATGCCGAGCTTCATCGACACCTTCGCGATCGTGAAGAGCCACGTCAAGCTCAGGATCGATCCCAATTCGCCGGCCGTCGATAATCTGAGTGAGTGTACTATAGACCCTACTGAATGAACAGAAATCGGTTGAGATTATTCCTTTTTTTTTGTTTTACGTAAAAAACCGCGAGAGAACGAGCACCTGTTATAATTGATTCGTAATCTAGGTCGCAATAATGTCCATAAAAGTCACTTTACGACTTACCGAGCGCGCGACGCAACATAATGCCTTACAATAATAATGATTCATTATATATCGGGCGCGCGCGAGAGATTTGTTGGAAAAGCTCGCGAGCGAGACTTTTATGACTGTATTGTCGGTTGCTCCAGATCGTCGTCGTCGCAGTTGATTCCATTTAAGCTCGTTTACGTCAACTTGCGATTAGAAAATATAAACGATGTATTTTTTTTTGCTTTGTTTATCCAGTATTCAAGCTCCACTACAGGGCGACCTTTTTGATCCTCGTTTTGGCCACTGTCCTCGTTTCGTCGCGCCAGTACATCGGCGAGCACATAAGGTAAGTGCAATTTACGAAAATTCTTCATTCACCCGAGAAATTAAATTTCATTTCCCCTGCCCTCAGATGTATAGCGGACAAGGGCGTCGCCGAGTCGGTCATCAACACCTTCTGCTTCTTCACGTCGACCTACACGATCCCGCGACTGATGAACTCGAGCCACATCGACAGCGACCTCATACCGCACATCGGCGTCGGCACTGCGGCCAACGGCGAGGAGATCACCCATCACGCCTACTACCAGTGGGTGCCCTTCGTCCTCGGCATCCAGGCCATCTTCTTCTATCTGCCCCATCTCTTCTGGCGCACCATCGAGGGTGGCAAGCTGCGTCTCCTCGTCACCGGCCTGCAGACGGCCTCGCTGGCCCTGCGCGAACAGGCCCTCACCACCGAGTCCATGACCATCATGTCGCGGCAGGATCGCTCCAAGCGCATCCAGGAGATCAGGCAGAGCTTTCTCAGTAGGCTACACATGAATCGCTCCTGGGCCCTCTACCTGAGCATGTGCGAGGTCCTGAATCTGCTGAATCTCTGGCTGCAGATGCACCTGACCAACAAGTTTCTCGGCGAGCAGTTCTACAGTCTGGGCTTCGATCTGGCCGAGACCGGCATCAACATGAAGGGCGACGCTCTGGATCGCGTCTTTCCCAAGGTAAATGAAAAAAAAAAACAAGAGACAAGTTCTATTATTTTCCGGATTCTTCGGCTCGTTACGACTTGATCGTTCGAAATTAAAGCTAGAAATTCCTCCGTTCATTCGAGCCAATCGCCAGCAATTGGGACCAAGGCTAATTTTCTCTCTCGACTCTTTTATAGGTGACCAAGTGCACCTTCCACAAGTTCGGTGCCTCCGGCACGGTGCAGAAGCACGACGCCATGTGCGTGATGGCCCTGAACATCATCAACGAGAAGATCTACATCTTCCTCTGGTACTGGTTCAACTTCCTGGCGGTGCTCACGGTTCTCGGCCTCGTCTATCGGCTGTTCACCTTCTTGCTGCACGGCAGGTAACGTATACACTTCCTGGATATATATACGAAATTACTTACGTCAAAACGGCAAACAGTCGAAAAAAAAAAAAATGGCGTTACACGACTATCTTCTAACGTCTCCGATAAAAATCACGCGCGACACGTGACTCCGCGCAAGATTGTCGTATACATGTTTTGTTTTTTTGTCTCCCTGTCACGCAGGAGCAAGGCCTTCAACAAGTGGGTCTTCAGGCTCGCCTGTCCAGGCAGCTCGGACGCCTCGGCCATCCTCGAGGTGACCCAGAACACCAACTTCGGCGACTGGCTGTTCCTCTACTACATCGCCAAGAACGTCGAGAACATCGTCTTCAAGGAGATCATCGAGGGCCTCTCCGACGACATGATGGAGCGCAACAAGAGGCTGTACGCCCAGCTGCCCCAGGAGATCGACGACGACTACGAGAAATCGCCAAAGACGTACGTTCTACTTTTTTTTTATTATAGACCTTTTTTTACGACTGTCATCGCGGATATGCATATAATGCGCAGCGCACTGGGTTAATTACCTTTCGGTGTTAAAACGCAGTTGTAAAAAAAAGAACGCACGGCTCGTAAACTTTTCAACGCGAGGCTGCTGCTGTTATTAAGTTGCGTAAGAACCCATCATACCACGACGAGACAGAGAGAGGCCTTGAACTTTTCTTTTCTACCGATAATACAATACAATATATAATACATAACGGGAAACGAGTGAGAGAGAATATAAAAATCAAAAGTGAAAAACGCCCAAGACGGTTTGCGCGCGCACTTGAATCGACGTTAGCGAGAAACGTACGTATATACGCGCGTCGTAAGACAAATATTCGATAATGTGGCCGCGAAGATAAGGCTGGAAAGATTTCGAGTCGCGATCTGCCGATTCATCCAATCTTATATTATATATTATATACGATAGAGGAATCGTCGAAATTCTATGTAGCGATAAAAAAAATTTCACGCTTCTACCTTTTGTACGTACGTATACGCGTGAAATAATATATCGAGTTATGGAGTTTGCGTAGAGGAAAAACGGCGGCAGATTAGTAGGCGACAATAGTCGCGCTTTTCCTGCGATAAATCCACGCGTGCGTGCGTAGAGCACAACACAAATAAACAACGTGTCGAGGCGCAGGTACTCGACAACGGAACTCGATTATTTCGACGGATTCACGAGTTGACTATTCGCGTGCATCGTCGCTATTATATACATAATGTAATAGTAGTTGCAGCAGTGGTCGTAGTTGAGTAATGTCGCGTGCGCAGCGCGATTATGTTCTACAGCTCGCTCGCGAATGTAATATAAAAAAAATGAGCCGTGCTCTCGATCGCGTCACTTTTCTCTCTCTCGGCAATTTCTCGAGTATAGCTCGACGCTTTTCCGTCGAGATTCGCGCGTCGAGGAATGTTTATTTCCGGTGCTTGGAGAAGGCGAGGCGTGTGCTACCGGCTACACGTTACATTTATTTTATTATATGTAATGATATATTTGCTCGGAATCGACTCCGGCCGTTGTTGATCCCCGAGATCGTCGCGAGAGAGCAAACATAAACACACGGACTAATTGCAATCGATTACGAAGTAATGTAAATATTTAATTGATCGCACTCTCGTATTACATGTCTCTGTATACTTTTTTTCCACAGCCCTCCACTCATCGGCTTCATCTCGGAGAAGCCACTCAAGAGAGAGGATGCTTTGGACACCCTCCACGTGGCTTAAATCGCACCACTGGATGCTACTAATGATCCTGTCAACTAAATAAATACATCACACGCAGCGAAAAAAATCGTAATATTTTCCTTCCCGTAAGGTAAACGGATTGGTTTTATTTTCCGAGAGGGTAAAAATTACAATTTTTTTCACTCCGTGTATGGATCAATGTATGTATGTGTGCCTATGTGAATTTATACTTTACTTCCACACACGCACACACACATCGAATAAGAGGAGATGTAGTACGTGTTTAATGATGTTCTGCATTTATAACGATGGCTATATACGCAAGTGGTGGACTGTTGCTGCGGTCAGGACGTCGCCGCCGCACCTGCTGTATACTACCGATGCCTACTGCCACGCAATTGTCCCAATGACCTATAGAAGCGATGTCACTGCTCCGCCAATGGACCTTATTACACATTGTTGCCGAATTGTTACTGTTATTTCGTTAGTTTTATATACTTAAACTATACTCAGTGTACCTGTGCGCGATCGTGCATGGGTGCAGTGTACTCCGAATATAAAATTTCGGAACTACATTGTAATATGTACGCGTGTGAATGAGCTGCACACAGCCAGAGTCTTGAATTCTCTCTTAATTCAATCGCGCCCCTCTCTCTCTCTCTCTCTCTCTCTCTCTCACTTTTATAAATCTTGACGCACGATAAACTTTGCATGTCGTTGCGCTGCCGTTGTTGTAACTATTGAAACGCGCGGAGGAATTTGCAGTTGCCGGCGCGCGAGCATTAGAATTTTTCCCGCCGAGAAAACAGGTCGGTCGTTCGCGATTGCGCAACAATCGAAACTCACTACTGCAAACTTGTATGTGTAGGTATACAGAAGTTATGCCGCTGCTTTTTTTTCTTCTTCGAGCGCTTTTCACCTGCCGGCTCTGCGCGAGCATTTAACCATATATTATTGTGTCTCGCGCGCGCACTATTAGTTTTTCGATTTTATATGTTGCCAAGCGCGCTCGTTTTCTCTTTGCGCAAAAGGCAACGTTTTATTGAATTTACGCGTACGTAGCTCGACTCACTCGCTGTGCAGCATGCAAGTACCAAATAGCCATTTATTTTATACACGCGTGACTCTCGATGTGTGTATTGTGTGTGTGTGTGTGTGTGTGTGTGTGTGTGTGTGTGTGTGTGTGTGTGTGTGTGTGTGTGTGTGTGTGTGTGCATTTGTACCAATGCGTGTGTGTGTATGTACATAAATAAAAATATCAGAATGTGATGTGGCGAACGAGATTTGCTCTATCGATATACTACTGTAAGAACAGCGATCGAGAGCCGCGATGTAATGTATATAGCATATACACTTGCGCGCACCCGATCGATTCGATATTGTATCTGTGCCGAGCTGTTACTTAATAACGAAGGAATTTTTACTGTCCGTGTGTGTGCGTTGCACCGGTTGAAAATTGAACTTCTATTGTTGAACGTACAATAATAATAATAATAATGTCGTGTTTTATCGATTTTCATTCTCTTATACAAATAATAATAATATGTTGTTGCTGTTTGTTTATATGTAAGTACCTAGGAGGTAATTGATATTCTTTTAATATTATGCATTTGTGTATACGACTACGATGATGAATAATTATTATTTACACAGTTCAATGTGCGCGACGTTGCGCTCGTATGTAATGTATGTATACGCAGATTGCTATCCGCGGAAAATAAACTTCTTTTTTCCTATTTCTTTTTTTTATTACAAAAAATGTGTCACGGCGTCAAGGATTTATTAAACATCACATACCCATATGCCTCTTTTCCTTGCACACTTACACACATAGGACTTTCGTATAGCGACTTTCTTTGCATTTTTTATATGAAAAAAAGACGATCGAGTACGAGATCACGTTCTGCTGCTGCTGCTGTGCTACGTACGTCAAACGGCTCGTCGCCGTCGTCGCACGCACCTAGCAAAATCGTGTCAAGGATCATTCCTATAGCCTAGTGTTGTTCGGTTGTAATTGGTTGCAGCCGATGATCTACTATATGTAATATACCGCGGAGAGCCTACGGCGTCTACGCGCGGCCGCGAGACTGAAATTTTAAATTCAATTTGCCCGAGGAGATCTTGGCGATTCACGATTGATTCAACGACTCGACGAAAAAAAAACAAAAAAGAAAAACAAATGGTGTAGTACGTACGTAACAGCCTTCGCGCGCGCACTGGCGTCAATCATCGTCACTCTTTTGCATAACCGCCTTATCTCTTCTCGTTGGTAATTCACGATGAGTAGTCTATCAAATAATATAGAGGATAATATAATTACAATATTTTCACTAGTCTCCCGCAGTACCTCCAATTCAGATTTTCCGCGCGAGATCGCCTTGAATCTGTGCCTTAAATGGATCTCATCGGCTTTTCCGCGACAACAAACGAATGCGGCGATTATTTAATTCACCGGACGCGCGAGTGAGATGCGGAGAGTTGATTAGCCGATGATGCGCGATGCGCGTGTAATTGTTTCGCGGCGATGCAGCTGGAATATTTCCCATGCGCTAGCGCGAGGCAGGAAGTGATTCATTTCTGAATCGAGAGCTGCTTCTGCTTCTGCATTTTTTGTTGCCGTTGTTGCGAGATATCGTTACGTTGAAAACGCGATGATTTCGTTGAATCAAATGTGACGGCGTAAATGAGAGGCAGCGACGAGATGAAAGAAAATTCGGATGAAAAATAGTGCACCTCCCGAGCAGCGTACACAAAAATCGATATTCTTATGTAAACGAGAAATTCGTCGATCGTGCCCAGTGTCACGGCCGCAAAAACGACGACGTCGACGACCGTCACAGATGAAAAAAAGTACAATGACCTATCTCGTGGGGTGGGGCGCCGAGAGATGAGCCTCTTCTTTCAAAGAGACACATATCGATGTGTCAGATATATCTCGTGCTGATATACACGCGAGAAGGGGGGAAGATACGCGACTAATAACGTGTTACGCTACACGTAACGCGGGACACGTTTTTTCGAAATCTGCCTTCTTGCCATCGGGCGTGTCGCGTGTGTGTAGCGAGTGATTTTTATACGTATTAATAGAGGAGAGAGAAAAAAGAAGAAGAAAGAAAGAAAGAAAGAAAGAAAGAAGCTATGTACGGACTTTTGTCTTATGGTGCTAAGAAAGCTTATCGAACTCTCGCGAAAAAATGAGAGAGAGATCACAGCTTCAACTTATCTAGCTGCTTCGCACTTTTTTAATCGCATCAGCGTTATCGAACTAGAGAATTTAGCGAGAAACACATCTGTCTCAATTAATTATTTCGGCGATTATCGCACACATACGCACGCACTACGTGCTATGATTTCAGGCAAATTTCTTCGTCTCGCGCGAACGCGACGGCCCGTAAATCATGGGCATCGTTTATCATGAATGTCGTATAGGCAAAAAATGAGCTCCGTTAGCTATACATCGATTGGTAAATTAACTCTTCGCTTAATAAATTGTTAATTAAATAATCTTTTTTGCAAAAAGCATACCAGGACAAAGTCGAAAAATTAAATTTTGAAAAAAAAAAACAGCAGAACCATGATGTTCAAAAATTAAGGGAAAAATTTAAGGTTTTTAAGGTTACTACTTTTGAGCAGTCAGTTAAATTTAACAACTGACGGTCCAAACAACACCTTAGATCGTACATTATTTAAATGTACCAGAATTAAGGGGGGGGGGGGGATATTTTCTGCCGATTGGTATCATGGGACGCATCCCACTGTACTGGTCCCGAGTCCATACCTGCTATATATATAAGAGATAATCGATTTCGGCGCTTGCGGGAATCGCCGGAGCTGCACCGAACGCCACCTAGCGGATCGCGAGTTCATGAACTCGTAACGCTCGACGTACGTGACTTTTCCTCCCATCTCTCTTGGCTGGAACGCCAAAGCGAAAAAGTTGTAGAGCGAAAATTTCGGCTTCTCATCTCTCATCGCAATTTCCACTGACTTTCCGAGATCCTCGTCGTTGGAAAGCGGACGCTCGCGACATCGGCGCCTCAATCCAGCAGCACCTCGACCGCTTGGGGCTGGGGGCGCCACGGGGTAGTGCAGCGGGGGGTACACACGACCCTACAAGTCCGCGACGTCGAGCTTTAGCTCCCCCAGCCAGAGCTAACTGTCGCAGATCTCGAGAAACGTCCGCTGCAGCCGCGAGCCGTCGTTCCGGGTACATGTAAGCGATCTGCAGAGGACCGACTGTCCTTGTTTTGTTGGCCGAGCTCGGACCGGCGGCTTCTCTCAGTAGTCCCTCGGACAACTTTTCGCGTTGACCCTCTGCAGTGCCAAGTGCAGCGGTGTATCGACCGACTCGTCCCCCGCGTCCACCAGCACATTCCCCTAATTGACGCTGCAGCTCTCGAGGAACACGAACCAAATCATGTGCAGAGGACTTTCATCAGCTACATTGTCCAAATTCGGATCACGCCTCTCCTCGGATATAGAGCCAGGTGCAGCGGGGTGTTACCCGACCAGTCAGGCGCTTTGATCAGTGTCCGTCGTCGCTTCGGGTTTTGGAAGTGCCTCTCCACGAAGCCAAACCCCGAGTCGTGATCGGCCTCCCGCACAGGACGCGTGTGCAGAGGCCGAGCTCCGCCGAGTCAGACGCCGTGACACAGCAACAGCTCGGCCATCGACTCGTACCCGTGAGCGAGAGCCCGTGATTCAATCGATCTTGCCGAGCTCGAGGATTCTCCGCGCGACGTCCTCGAAGCCGAATCGGCAGACCACGTGGCAAATGCGTCAAGCAGTCCTCGTCCATGTAGTTCACGCCGACCGTATATCTCCAAGAGATCGGTCGGTCGCGCGATGCACCGCGGCGTAGCGCGACGCCGGATCGGTCGCGAATCTGAGAAACAGTACGTAGGTGTCGGTGTCTGTGCTCTCCGGTGTGAATTTGGCCATCATGGAGATCGAGTCGAAGAACGGACTCTGATCCATTTCTTCGGGCGGAAAGACGGCCCGGAGATAAGGAACTTGGCTCGACGCGCCGTAATTTTCGTACAACTCGTCCAAGTGCTCGAGCAACCGATCGACTTTCGTAATTTTTTGAATTCGTCTAATATCTATTAAAGGATATGTTCGTCCTCTTCATCGTATCTGTGAATGCAGGTGGTCGACTCGTGCTTCAAACTTTCCGCATCTTTCGGATCGCACTTGTCCTTCTCTCCGCTTGACTTTTTCGGTAACTCGATCTGTGTACTGCTTGACTTTTTTATTAACTCGTTCTGTTCATTGCTTGACTTCTTGATTGACTCGTCTTTATCGATGCCGAACGACCAAGATTGGGAGTCTCCGTCGGATCTGTTGCTTAACGAGAACATATTTAACTAACACAGTTCGCGTACACACACACAAACACAAAAAAACAAAAGTTGAGTACTTAAAATCTTTTTTTTTCGGCGATTTGTCCGATTCCGGCAAAATGACATGAGTCTTCACAGCATCTTTGTAGCGGCGTGTAGTAAAAATTCGCACAAAAAAGCGACTCAATGATACGTACTTTTTTTTGCAGCTCGGATGCGTCTCTATAAGTCATTAAATCGACACGTGGATGTTCCCAAGAGTCGACGCTCTATCCGATTGTTTAATTCTCATACATTATGTCACGCACAACAGTTGGGTATCCTTTTATTTTAATTCAACTCGGATACGTCGCTTCTATCGATCGTTGATTCACGTTTTTAATTACGTACGCATATAATATATTACGATCGCGACCTAGAGCCATACAGGAGGAATACGCGACGATTCCGAGTATTTAATCCGAATGAGAAATCAGCAGTACCTACCGGGTGCGCGCACGAACAACAATTATTTTTATACGTATAGGAGGCTTTGCACAGAGAGGCGAGATAGTTGACATTACCTATATATTATATACGAGATATGAATTGTGTCGGCGCAGCGGTGAAGTATCTTGTCTTGTAATACACTAAGCACGCGAGTACATTACCTCACCCGCGCAAACAATGTGCGATTAATGAGACGGTGCGGTACACTCGAGCAGTACATATTTTTGCAAAAAGACGCAACAACGCGTATTTTTAATTATGTATGCGCACAAGTATGCACGGACGATTTATATCAATAGGTAGCTGTGCAAAGCTATGATATCAGTAAATTATAATG